CCCCACCCGGCGGGGTGGCGGGCGCGCTGCGCCCCCTGGTGCAGGCCGGGGTGCCCGCCACCCCAGAGCCGCCTGCTCTGGACGCGAAGCGGCCCTTCCTGTGCCGGGAGTCGCTGAGTGGACAGGCCGCGGGTCGACCTTTGGTCGCCTCCGTGGGCCTCAATGGTGAGCCGGGCTGAGGGGAGCGACTAGGGGCTGAAGGGTCTCCACTTTCTCGCTCCCTCCGGCCTTGGACCCAGGGAGCAGTCGAAGAGGGCGGGAGTATGCGGGTATGTGGAGCAGAGCCTACTTGGGGAGGCTTAGGCTCGCGGGCTGGGCGACTTGGACTGGCCCTGCTTCTTGGGCCTAGCTAGCGTTCTTACCTCTCCGAGGACGCGGCTGGGTTGGCCGGGCTACAGTGATGCTCCAGCTCTGGCATTTCTGGCTTCATTTGGGTATCTTAAATTGGCGGCAGTCTGGGCTCCCATTTGCAGGCTAAACTCTCTGTACATCACCGGTTAAGTTTAAGAGCTCTGAAATCCCAACTGCTTCCAGCATACTGTGGTAGTTCATTGATGACAAGTTGTTTGACCTTGGGTAAACTTCTAAACGTTCTTTCCTCACTCGTGAAAAGGATTCATGTTTATATCAACTTGATAGGGATGTCGTGATGCTTAGTTGGAAAAATTATACATAAAGCCATTAGCACAGACTGAGCACCTAATCAGTGCTTTAAAAATAGGAATGTTTGGGAAGTTGCCCGCCTCACCGATCTTTTCGATCTCTGGTGACCTTCCTCTTCATCCCCAATTCGAAAGTCATAAAAAGTCCAGACAATAGTTAACACAGCCTCTAAGTTATTGATAGTTATACAATGTAGGGTCAGCAGTGTTTTCAGGCACTGTGCCAAAGGACTTTTTTTTTTTTTAATAGATTTTTGCTATAGGGTGCTTGTGCTCATGGGGGAGACAGAAAGTGAGACCTCACACCCCAGGGGGAATGTCTATGCCACAATCCCTTCTCTATTCTCTCAGGATCTTGGGCATGCACACAACACACGAGTTTCAAGCTGCTGGGTCTGGGACTGGAGCCTCAGTCAACTACGTGGGAGTATAGCAAAGTAACCTCTAAGCCATCTGCTGGTCCCCAAAGGGCTTTTTAAATGCAATCAGTTAATCCTCAAGAAGAACAGGCAAAGGATCATGATATTCCCCATTTTACAGATGAGAAAAAAGACTGTATGAGGTGCACAAGTACACACAGTATGGATGTGACAGAACATAGATTTGACACACAAGACTGATTGTCTTAGCCAAGGACTCTTCTCAGGAGCTTATTCCATGCCCTCTGTCAACAGATCCTAGTTTAACTTCTGTGCCTTGTCTCCCTCTTTATATGCTCTATGATAGACATGTCAGTGTGGGCCTGCAGGGTGACTGCATAGCTTTAAAAAACTAGGAAGACTTCTGGCATCTCTTGATACAGGGAAGCTGGCAGTGACTCTAGTTTATACATGGGAGATGTCTACAGTGGCTTTGTATTGGCTGCCCCTACGGTTAGAGCAAGTGTTCTACAGTTTATCACAGTTCTCACTAGGCCTACTTATTAACTGCCTGGCCCTATTGACAGCTGAGTTTGTGACCCTTCCCCTACAAACTAACCAAATTGCCCCCTTTCTTATACTGTCCTTTCATTTTACCCTACTGCACTTTTTTTTTTTTTTAAGGTTTTTGCCATAGGGTGTGAGCGCTCACCAGAGACAGTGAGAATTATAGGGTGGTGGTGACCCTGCAGTCCCTTCCTTCTTCATTCTCCTGGGATTTGGGGCATGTATGCACACATGCCTGGTTTGATTTTCAAGGCGCTAGGTCTGGAACTCAAGCCATGGTTGGCCATGTAGGAGTCCAGGACCTTAACCACTACGTCATCTGCTGGCCCCGTACCCTGCCTACTACACTTTTAATGTTTTCCCCTCAGTTTCCACATATGCAAGCCTTAACCCATTTTTTTCTATTTCAGTTCAGGATTTGGTCAATACAATTTTATACTTACTGATTCCTGCACATGACACTTTCCATTCTGTCTCATGCTTATTGGTTATTTCTCTGACCTTGATTTTAAGGGCATAGAAAATGTCTCCTATATTTTTCTGTTTTTCACAACCTTGGGTTTTATGTACAATTGGTGTAAAATATTTGTGACTGAATATTAAGGAAACCGGTGGTTTTTAGAGAAACTGTTCAGGGTAGGAATGAGCTCATAGGTAGCTCATTCCAGGCCTATTCTTGGGACCTGGAGATGAGAAACAAAAAGGGAGGAAAAGTTTCAATAGCAAAGGTAAAAAGCATCTTTGGAATTTGTCAGATGGCTAAAGGGTTTCTTCTAAAAATTGGAGGCTGACACAGATTTGCATAAATATTTTTCCAGAACAGGCCTAATGCAAAAACTTCTTTCATGCCTCCAGCTTGTAGCCTAAATTCACATTAAAATCTCTTGTCTAGATGGTTTATGAGAAGATGGGTAATAGAAGTGGAGTAGGATGAGAAGGGCAGGGGTGGATCAGGAGAAAATCCTTGAGTTGAGGAGGAAGGTTGCCCTGTGGTAGCATTTCTTTCATACAGAAGCCTTACATAGCTCACGTTAAAATAAACCAAACTTGTTAAAATACTTAAATTTTCTCTTTGTAGATGGTATCTGGTTTTGCTTTATGTTAGTACTAAGTTAAGCCTCTTTGTTAGTAAAGTCAGACTTAATATAACTTGTGTAAATTGCTTAGAGAATGATTTTTACAATAGTGGTTTAATTTCTTAAAGTAATAATTTTTTAAATTTTACATGCATCTGACAAACATGTGGTATAACCCAGTAGAGTGCAACCTTCTAAATAGAGTAGAAGTATTTTTCCCCCTGAGTGAGACTGGCAAAATCTACTTAAGTGTTTTTGTGTATTTCCTTTTGTAATGTTAAGGACTGTAGATTTTATTTTTAATTTGTAAGTATGAAACATGTAAATCTGAGGCAATGCTCTGGGAAAATAATACACTTGATTTGAAATACTATACTGACTGGGTAGCATTAGGTAGAGTATTATGAAGGGGGGGACTTCATAAAATTCTGGAAAAATGTGTATTGTTTAAAGAAAACTGCATAGCTTTCAGATATTTTTGTACCAGAACTGGGGCAGAAATTCCTTTTTTTTTTTTTTTTTCCTTTTTGGAGCGGTTTTTGCTGCTGGGGCAGAAATTTCCTTTTTTTTTTTTTTCCTTTTTGGAGCGGTTTTTGCTGTAGGGTGCGTGCGCTTGCCAGAGAGACAGAAAGTGAGAAATCACCCCCCCAGGGGGGATGGCCATGCTGCAGTCCCTTCTCCTTTCTCCTCTTGGGATCTTGGGCTCGCACATACACGTGCCCGGCATGAGTTTTAAGCCATTGGGTCCGGGACTTGAACCATGGTCTACTACAAAGCTAGCGACATAGCCATTACGCTAACTGCTGATCCCCAGAAATTCCATTTTTCCACAGACTTATTGAAGTCCCCTCATCCATGATATATATGTCAGTCTGATTCCATAAAGTCATACATGTAAATCTTTATTTTAAAAGATTTATTTGGTTTTATTATTATTGTTTAATGTGTGATAGGTCACATGCACTCACCAGAAATAGGGAAAGTGAGAAAGCCAGCTGCCAGGGCTGGGACTCCAACTATGGTGGAATGTGTGGGGGTTCACCTTAATCACCACATCTCCTGCTGGTCCAAAAGTAATGTGATGATTCAGTAGGTTTCATAATTCTTTATGAATACTTAAGGCTTCCATAAAGTTACTGACCTTGAGAATTTATGTGGAAAGTAATTGAGATACTATGTGTTTTAATGTTTGTCTTCTGAAAGAAGTATGTTAAGATGAACTAGCTCTGTAGACCAAGGTAGAATTGTAATTTATTATAATGAAAATGAATTTTATGTATATATTTACTTTGGAAACAACACATTTTCTAAAGTGAGGAATTTTTAGTATCCTCTTTTCTAGAAAGGAAACCTTATGCAAGTTTCCAAGAATGAGCATACAATTTTAGAGATTTGCTTCCTGAAATATACTTAAAAGTGGTAGAAGTAAATTGATTTTTTTTGTCCGGCATTCAGTGTGGTATGAAAAGGTTGTATCTGGGGGGGAAGGAGGGAACTTGTTCTTTAAGTAGTATGTAGAAAATTGAAAATTACTTAACATTCATTTGACACAAACATATTATGTCCTGTTTTATGGACATAAAGTATCCCATTTGAAGAAAACACAGCAGTGAAAAAAAAAGATAGCTCCCCTTGGGGCTAGCAGGAGGTGTGGTGGTTAAAAGCACTGCTCTCCCACATGGCCGACTGATTCAAGCCTTGGACCTGGTGACTTGCTTTCTCTCTCTCTCTTTATCTGTATATGGTCACATTGGAAAATAATAATAATAAAGGTAAGTAAAATGATTCTTTAAGAAAAAAATGATAGCTCCCCTATTGCAGAACCTATTGATCTGGGGCCAGCAGGTTGGATATTGATAAAGGCATTGTATTTTTACATGACTGACTGTAGTTGATGTTCTCATTTATTTGCTTGCCCAAATACTTGTATCTTGCTTTATATCATGGACACAGATTCTATAAAGCTCATTGTAAGGAGAGGGTAAAGTTATGTAGTCATCCGTTAGTTCCTTAAAGGTGTTTAAGGCATTGGCAGAAACAAGTGTCCAGCTCTCCCTTTTTTCACAGGATTAACTACGAGTTCTTTTGGCTATGTATTTTCCCCCTGCTGTGAATATATGATAATAATGAATATATTCTGACAACTTGAAATTTACACTGGGTGCATGTAGGTATGTACCCAAAATCCCAGGAAGAGAGTGGAGATGTGGCCATCCCTCTCAGGGTGTGATTTCTCACTTTTCCTCTCATTGTCTTTCTCTCTTCCAGAGCGAGTATGTACCTTATGGAAAAAATAAAGAAAAGCTATTTTTCTCTATTGCTCTTTACTGAAGAGGAGGGTGTATACCATTTTTGTTTCCTTTTTCCCTTGCTAAATTGAAATATTTAGTTCTTTGGCAGTTTTTATTTATTTTGAGAGCTGTTTATTCTGATAAGGATATCCATTCCTGTGGAGTAGTGGTTTTATTTGAAGTTCAAGTAATACTAATTTATACCCTAGAGTCTAAAGTAGAAATCTTTAAATTTTCTTCAAGTAAAGTTATACCAATAATGAATCTTGTAATTAGTATTTTATGAACTTTTTTGTAAGAGAACATATAGGTAGGAATATAAAGTTAGAAAATTACCTTAATATGATCACACATCAACTTTTTAGGTAGACTGGATGAGTTTTTTTCAGTCCCTTCTAATCCAGAGAATGTGGAAGGTAGTTAGAAGATTGTATAACATGCCTTTGCAGTTGAATTTTGTAAATATTGAAATTGCTGTATATTGGCCCATTTCGCTTGATACACTAAGATGTTACGAATCCTGAAACAGCAGTGTTCACCAATCAATTTATAAACATCCTGTGATTTCATACCAATATGATAGATAGTAGTTAACTTCATTTCATATTTAGTGTGTTTTTTGACTCCTGGTTTGTCTGTTTCGGAGATCAGTGAGTACCATATTATATTAGACTTTTGAAATTTGATTTTCAGAGTACTCATCTAATTGTGTTGTTAAATCTTCTCTTTGTCTTTCAGGCCCTGCTTCTGTTCGTTATTCTCATACAGACATCAAAGTGCCTGACTTCTCCGACTACCGCCGCACTGACGTTTTAGATAGTACAAAGTCTTCAAAAGAGAGCAGCGAGGCCAGAAAAGGTTTTTCCTATTTGGTAACTGCAGCAACTACTGTGGGTGTCGCATATGCTGCCAAGAATGTTGTCTCCCAGTTTGTTTCCAGCATGAGTGCTTCTGCTGATGTGTTGGCCATGTCGAAGATTGAAATCAAGTTGTCTGATATTCCAGAAGGCAAGAACATGGCATTCAAATGGAGAGGCAAACCCCTGTTTGTGCGTCATAGAACCAAGAAGGAAATTGAACAGGAAGCTGCAGTCGAAGTGTCCCAGTTGAGGGACCCACAGCATGATTTAGAACGTGTAAAGAAACCTGAATGGGTTATCCTAATAGGTGTCTGCACTCATCTTGGTTGTGTACCCATTGCAAATGCAGGAGATTTTGGTGGTTATTACTGCCCTTGTCATGGGTCACACTACGATGCATCTGGCAGGATCAGGAAGGGGCCTGCGCCTCTCAACCTTGAAGTTCCCTTTTATGAGTTCACCAGTGATGATATAGTGATTGTTGGTTAGAGACTTGGACTTAAGGCATAGGCTTCTTTCAGTCTTGATGTCATTTCAGTAGAGTCATTTGAGAACCAGCCTTATGTATTTCAAGTTGGTTGATTTGAAATATTTAAGAATTACCAATAATGTATTTGCAAACATTAATGTAAACTAAATTGAGTTTAATGTTGACTACTTCCAAGCCACTGTTAAACATTGTTAAGCTCAGTCATACACTTAAAAGGTGCAATGTCTGATAACTAATTCTAATTAAAAATTACAGACTGGTGTACAAGATTACTTGTGAAGACTGTAATTGACTCTCTCATTTATTTGCTTGCACAAATTCTTGTCTCTAGGAGAGGGGGGTAAATTTAGCTGGTCATCTGTTAATTCCTTAAAGGTGTTTAAGGCATTGGCAGAAACAGGTGTCCAGCTGTTTATTTTTTTACAGGACTCACTAAGAGTCTTTCTGGCTATCTTTTTCCCCTGCTGTATAATATGTATGATAATAATGAACATAATCTATAGGAAACGATCCTGAATGAGATGTTAGCAGCAATGAGGATTTATCTCTCAACCTGACTAGCTGGTTTCCTGTCTAATTTTATTTGTCTCTTGTGGAAGTACCTCATCTCCATATACATACAGTTTAGAACTCTGTGTGTAAACAGTAGATTAACATGTATGTAATATGAACTATATACTATATCCTGACAATAAGTTTAAAAAAATTCAAAAGGTCAAAGAAAATATATTCATAGTATTTATTGAAAACTGTCAAAGTAAGTGGACCCACTCAGCTCAAATAAGTGTTGTTCAAGAGTAAACTACTTAATAATTCTTTTAAGTTTTAAGGGGCAGTGGTGGGATATTACCTGAGAGAAGTTTTCCGAAATAGGAGTACTTCTCTGTTAGCTTTCTTCCTCTGGCCTTGTGGCTATTCATGTCCCCAAACTCCTGCATCTACTTTGTCAAGAGGCAGAAAAGAGCATCTGATACTTAATATTTTTGTATGGAAATCATCCTGCTGGTGTTGTTTCGATAGAGATTACATTTTGAGGTGTTTCTTGCAGTTGGATTTTCAGTCAGCTCTTTCTACTATGAAGAGATGGGGGTACACACAGGGAGACCATATTAGAATTAACATCCTCTTATTTTTTGCTTCCTGCTTCCAGTTATAGTCAAAACAAGACCAAGGTCCGAATTTCCCCTGGGAATTTGAAGTAGACTTTGCCCTTTGTTGAGAATCACAGCTTCTTTTTGATAGATTTGTCTCTGCTATATGGAGGTTGGTCAGTAATGTGGTTTTTTTTTTTTTCTTTAAAGATAGCTAGTTTATTATATTTTTAAAAAGTAGAAAAAAGACTGGAAGGAAATAATGTTGAAATGTTGAACAGTCACATTTTAATAATGGAATTATGAGTGATTTTTATTTTGTTCCTTATAGTTAGAAGGAAGATTAATTAATTTATTTTTGTACACTTTATTGATTCACAAAAGATCTTGATTAATCTAAATACTTTCAATAACAAGTGCAGCTGATATACAAATCTGTGAACACATGACTGACTTTAGGCATAAAGTAGAATGAACATAATATGAAGTAGCACCTAGCTGTGGCTGTATAGCTTACTGTGGTCATGTAATAAAAATATGGAATGGTTCATGAATTTGTGTGTCATCCTTGCGCAGGGGCCATGCTAATCTCTGTATCATTCCAATTTTAGTATATGTGCTGCTGAAGCGAGCACCAGTAATGTGGTTTTATTGGCCTCACCTTGTAATCACATATGCACTTGTAAAATAGATCAGATTAATTTGGTTAGGTCTGTTCACAGAGAACTGGCAATCCAGAATTCTAATCTTAGATGTCAGTAGTGTTTGTTTTTGTCAAAAAAGAAATGTCAATTTCTGTGCTATGTTACAAGCATATGTTTTAGTTCATTTTTACCATTTTAGAAATATATTCCCTGGTCTGATCATTGGTGGGACCCATAAAAGTGTATTTTATGTTTTCAGACATAGAAGAATGGAGGGTGATAATGGTGTTGGAGGCTGGTAGCAGAACAGAAATGTAAAACATTCAGTTGTGAGCGAGGCACACATCCACACTAAAGAACAGCAGTGTCAATAACACCACTTCCCAGTAAGGGACTACTGATACCCCATATTATCATCTGAAGTGATCCTTGAAATACTACATATTGAAAATGGCGAAACACTACTGCATTGGGATCTATAGGGCAGTGGAGAACAAAGGGAACTTTGCTGGTTCCTAGGTGTATCACAGCCACTTTGCACAGGAATTGTTTATTTGGTGGGCTGCTTATGTCTCCTGAGTTAGATAATGGTAAACTAGTAAATCTCAGTAACACATTTAGTTATTCAAAGAAGGTTCTCCAAGTGACAGGACAACTTAAATCACTTGAAACTACTTTGCTAAATAGACTTAAGATCATTTTGAAAAATTGCAGAAAAAATTATAGATGTGTGTCGGGGACAGGGTGGGTTTCTTGAAGAAGTATGACCAGTTGGCATCCTAACATTAGATCATTAATGTATACTGCTTTTTACTGGGAGTAATTCGTGGAAGCCTTGAGATCTAGGCTTTTTCATTTTTTTTTTAAAGAATGTTATATAAAATGACCTTTTTGAAAATTTTGCATTAGAGAACGTCAAATCTACTTTGATCTTTTTTCCAGCATACCTTTGTATAATCTTTGACTCAATCTGAGTGTAGAGGGCATTTGTCCTTATTTGATATTTATGGCTTGGGATCAAATGAGCTTTTTCTTATTCCTCATTTCTCTAAGCAGTGGGAACATAATATACTATTTATCTTAATGTCACAAGTCATTCTTTATATAGTACTAAGTCTAATTTTCTGTATTTTTATGTCCTTGAATTATGTTGTGTTTTGCATATTAACCCAAAATAAATACTGATACTTTCCAGAATGATATCCATGGCCCGCTGTTCTAAAACATTAATTTCATTATCACCTTTTGCTAATGACTCCCTTGACCATTTCCTTGAGGTTTATATTCATATTAACACCTCATACTCAAAATATCTGAAAGGAAAGGAAGTTATCTGTTTCCTATTAACTGGCTTCTTCATTGTGGTTGGTTGCCTCCTTATGTATCTAGTAACACTTGGTGAGCAAAAACCTGCTAGTCTTTCCTGCCTTCATTACTCCCTCCCTCCCTTGGGCCCAAATCAATCTCTACCCCTACAAATTTTAGTATCCTTACTGTGAGGGGACTTCAGAAAATTTGTGGAAAATGGAATTAAAGTATGAGCTTATTTCAGTGCAAAAAAAATGAAATCCATACATAGGTTTTTTATAATAGGCATTTTTTCATAATGTTTTGAATATCCCTTGTATAGGTCTATTACTGCCTGCCATCCATAGCATTCTAATAATGGCTAAGTTTTTGAACAGTCCTAGCCACTTGTTTAAATACATGTCTCTAATCTCCCAGATCCTATTGTATAATGCTGCTGTTCCTAGTTTATAGGTAAAGAAATCGCATATAGAAATATCTCCTTTACACTTGTCTTGTTACATTTACAGTCACAGCTTATAGGTTGTTGGAGCCAAAATTTTATTTTAACCAGAGATTCCAGAGTCAATAGGTCTGATCATCCTATACTACCAGCACTTTTATTGGGGCTTTGTCAGTTTTTGTCTGGTCTACTTCAATAAGATACCAGGGGCCAGTAGTGGTATGGTAGCTAAGACAGCTGGATCGCACATGACTGACTACAGTTTGAGTCCTGGACTCAGGGACTCAAAAAACAGGTTGGGAATGTGTGCGTAAGTACCCAAAATTTCAGAGGAGAATGGAGGAGAAAGGATTGTTGTGTGGCCATCCCTTTGGAGGGTGATTTCTCACTTTCCCTCTCTGTCTCCAGCAAGTGCATGCACCCTATAGCAAAACTAAAATAAGGTCCCAAACAGTTCTTTTCTCCAAACCTATCCTTTTAAAATACTTCCTCCATATAACTTCGGAGTAGCATAGGTGTTAAGAATATGGGATTTCCGGGGACCAGCAGGTGGCGTGGTGGTTAAGGCACTGGACACTCCCACATGGCCAACTGTGTTTCACATACTGAACCTGGTGGCTTGCTTTCTCACTTTACCTCTCACTCTGTCTGTGTATCTCTTTCTGGTAAAATTTAAATAAAGGAATGAAAAAATAATATAAAAAAAATACGGGATTTGTTCTGGGTTCCAATTATGGTTCTGCCATTTTCTTGATATATAACCTGACACAAATTACTTAATCTCTATTTTATTCATATGAAAGGAATAGCCCCTCAGGGTTTTAGGGATTAAAGCATTAACATATGTCAAGGCATGATGTAAAAATTCTTTAAAACAGAACTTTTATTAGGTCCTTATTGCCTGTATCCAATTGGTTGACCCTTTGCTCCCGTAACAGTTTGATACTTGGATTCTCCTTGTTTTCTCTTAGCCCTCTTTCCACGGTGTCTCTTTTACATGATTTCTTTGCCTTTCTCTTAGCTAAGTTACTCTCGGCTTAGGTATACTGTAGGAAATCTCTAAATCGCATTTACTTTTTCCAGCAATTTCTCAAAAATAACCGGCATATTTTCATCTTGATATTTTTATTAGCCTTTCTTGTAAAGCTCATTTTCCTACTTTGTCTCTGTACTACCAGACAAAAGACTGAGAGGTTTGTGACAAGTACTCAGTCATGAGATTGGATGCTGAATGGAGAAGAAAAAAAAAAAAAAACTTCTGAATGACATTAATTAGAAGGAAAATTTCCCAGGAGTATTTTGTAATATCAAGTCTATCATTTTTAAAAAAAATAATGTATCTTATCTTTGTAGGACTTTAAATCAAATTAAAAAATAATGTAGTATCTGTGTATCTTATCTTTGTAGGACTTTAAATCAAAGGAGATGTATATTTTGAATTTAAATTTAGACTGCCTAGAAGAAAAAATGGAAAAGAAGAGAAAATGAAGTCAAGATCTTAAAATACTGAGGTGATTTTACTTTATTTCTGTTTGCTTCATAATGAACATTGACTGTTCTGCTTGTATAAGATTTTAACATCAAAAGATCTATCTTGGAGCCAGTGGCATGGTGGTTAAAGCAGTCGGATCCCACATAGGCAACTGCACAGTTAGAGCCTGGTCCCAGTGGCTTGAAAAACACAGGACACTTGTGGGTCCAAAACCCTGAGAGGAGAATGGGGAAATGATTATGGTGTGCCATCTCCCCTGAGGAGTGCTTTCTCACTTCCCTTCCTCCAAGAAGTGTATGTGCTCTATGATCTATAGCAAATTAAAATATATATGTATGTGTATCTGTGTATGTGTATATATCTATATGTATAAAATCACTGTCAGTGTTTTCAAAATTTCAATGGACATCATTTTATCTCTTTTATTCATTTTCCATCCTGAGATTTTCATTTTATCTCTTATTCATTTTCCATCCTGAGATTTAGGAGGGGAACATTTCATTAGAGGAGAAAAATATTAATAAGTAGGTGAATTGATCATTTCCCTTCTGAGGTAGGAGTAACTGAGGATTATTTTAGCTTTTTCAATATTCAGCACTACTTATTGGAGGTTAAATGTTTAGTCCAGATACTTAAAGGGGGACCTAAATACACCGCAAAGGAAAGATTGTTTCAAGTGCTTGCTTCTGTGGTTGCTTATAAAACAGATTACTATAGATCGTAAATTGCTGTCTTAAAGCATAAGATTAAAATTAATTTGGTAAAGGGCTTCAGCAGTATCTTCATAATAGCGCCTCCATAATGATCGACATAAGACTCGTCTGTCAGTGAACTGAAAATCTGAAATTCAATAAACTGTATTTTTGCAGA